AAGGCAGCTACTAAAATACGTTATTATGGTTATAGAGTGAATATAATGAAAAGTTGACAGGAGAAATAAAGATTATTACTGAATCAAATGTCTGATGGACATAAATGGACCCCCAAATTGTTAAATTAGCCGCAGCAGGGATATCTTCAAAGAGGTAAGAAGTACTTGAAGACAGAATAATTCTACATGGAGACTAGGTCCAGATGTGGTGAGTCATGACTAAGTAGAAGAAATGGAAAAGAGACACGGTAATCAAAGAGCCTTAAGATTAAAGTTTATACATACTCACAACTTCCATAATATCCTTCAATTTAAAGCATTTTTCAGTCTGTCATTCCTATATTGAAATCTTTATTTTTTGAATTTAATATTTTTTTTAATCTTTAAGGCTTTCTGTGTTTTCACTGGTTGAGATATTTCTCCAACAATCTTTATTTACCACCTTTTAATATATAATGTTAAAATCTGCAACTATTTTTAATATCTTATTTGGACATTTTGTTAATAACTTTGGTGTCCTATTTCTTCTTCCTTTCCACAATTAATTTGCATTGAGCTTCCACGTTACAAGTATTGCATTTGACATGATTACACCATTATTTGGTTAAAGTATTAATTATTGTGATTTACTTGTGTTAATTTACCTTGTAAAGTTCCATTATGATTCCAAAGAAAATAAAAACGTCAAATTAGAAAGTACAAGAAGAATATGAATAGGTACAAGTTAAGTGTGCTGCTAAGAAACAAGAATTTGAGAGAAGAAAAGAGAGAAACTCAAAGGCTTTAAAAAAAAAAAAAAAAAAAAAAAAGAAAAGAAAATGAAAGTTTTTAAAATATAGAGCAAAAACACTAAAAAGGAGCCAAACTTGAATTTACAAATGGACTATCTTCTTTTAAAAACTACAAGAAAAAAAAAAAAAATAAGGCAGGGACCAGCGGATGGCGTGGTGGTCGAAGGCACTGGATTCTCACAGGGCCGACCACGGTTCGAGTCCTGGACCTGGTGACTTGCTTTCTCCCTTTCCCTTTCTTTCTCTCTGGTCAAATTTTAAAAATAATAAGTGGAATTAAATAAATAATTCTTTTTAAAAATTAAAATTAAAATAAATCATTCTGTCTTTCAGGGTAAAATATCTACTGAATGTCCTTTGGGTTCTTTTGTAAATATAATGGATGATTTTTTTTTTTTTTTGGAGAGGTTTTTGGACACATCACAATCCCTTCTCCATTCTTCTCTTGGGATCTTGGGCACACATGCACACACACCAGCGTGAGTTTAAGTCACTGGGCCTGGGACTCAAACCACGGTCGACTACATGGGAGTCCAGTGACATAGCCATTACACCAACTGCTGGTCCCATATAATGGATGACTTCTAACAGTGGCATTTGTCAGCATTAATTGGATTGCTAAGTTATACTATATATAAAATACCCAAATATTTTTTTGTTTTTATAAAATAAAATTTTCTGTGTATGTTCTAAAAAAAATTACTGAGAATACAAAGAGAATCCAAGAGCAGCAGAGGACAGGGTACAGAAATATGTCAAGTTTGGTGTGGAGCAGGATGGATATCTATGTCAGTAGCGTTCCCCCAAAAAAGGTAAATTGCATGTAGCCCCGATGCAAATACACTGTTAATAAGTTATCGACATGATCTACATTTGAGTATACTACAAAACAAAAATACTTCTCACACAGAGGTTCTATATTTCTAAAGAGATCTCATACTCTTAGAGTATGCACACCCTACTCTCGGGACCACTGATATGTCAAGATGACGGCTTTAGGATGGAGATATAAAATCAGACTACAAGCTACTTTAGAGACATGTGGGTTCAGTTCCAGACACCCCCATACAACAAATATTGCAATAAAACAAGTCATACAAATATTTTTACAGTGCATATAAAAATTCTGCTTACACTACAGTCAACAAAGAGTGCAATAGTTTTGTCTTAAAAACACAACATAGTAGGTTGTCGAGAAAGTCATAAAGTATTTTGGTTTTCCTATTCAAAAATGCATCACGACTTTCCTGACAACCCAATATATACTTTAATTTAAAAGTACTTTATTGCTAGAAAACACTAGTAATCATCTAAGCAGTCAACAAATTGTACAATTTTCGTGCTGGTGAAGGGTCTTGCCTCGGTGATAGCAACTGACTAGGGCAGTGGTTGCTAAAGGTTTCGGTGGCTGTGGTGTTTTGTTCTGTTTAAGAATTATTTTATTCAACGCCATTCATTGTCACTATTTGTTTTTTCTTTTGATGTTGACCAGAGAGAGAAGGAAAATGAGAAAGTAAGCTGCCAGGTCTGGAATTTCAACTGCTGTCAGCCATGCTGGAATCCAGCCACCTCAATCACCACGCCTCCTGCCCGCCCCATGGCAATGTCTTTAAAGACAATGGTTGCACTGATTCCTTTCACGAGATCTCTAGCATGCAATGCTGCTTGATAGTATTTTACCCACAGAACTTTCAAAATTGAGTCAAGTTTCTCAAACCCTGCCACTGCTTTACCAAGTTTATGTAATATTTTAAACTTTGTTGTCATGTCAACAACATTCACAGCATCAGCAAGAGTACATTCCAATTCAAGAAACTACTTTTTTTTGTTCTTCTATAATAAGCAACTTCTCATTCGTTAGTTTTATCATTGGATTGCAACATTTTCAATCACATCTTTAGGCTCCACTTCCAACTCTAATTCTCTTGCTATTTCTAGCAATCTGCAGTTACTTCCTCCACAGAAATCACGACCCCTCAAAATCATCTGAGAGGGCACCAGTCCGGTAGCCTCATGGTTAAGGGAGCCAAGTCCTGGCTTCAGGAGCTTTAAAACCACAGCAGGCACATGTGTGTAAGCACCTCAAATCCCAACAGAATAAAGAAACGAAGAATGAATCATGGTGTGACAATGCCCCGCTGTAGGGTGCTTTATTAAAAATCTGTACATCGTTTTCATACTCTCATAGGAGCAAAGAATGCCCAGTTCTAACCTTCAAGGTAAACTCGTGTGCTATTCCTTCTACAGTGATGCTACTAATCCTGAGTCTTGTCTTCTACTGTTTTTTTTCTGAGTCAGACTCTCATGGAGTCTCCTTACCAGGGCCAAACTTCAAGATGAGAGCTGAACTCTTCTATACAGTTCTCTCTTGGCTAAGAGAGCAGGAACATAGCTCATATGCCTATCTTGGGAGAAACCACTTTGAGCTGAGATGACATTTTGCTCTCCAGAGCCACACACTGTATATACTTCAGTAAACTTGGCATGAGGAGTGGGCAAAAATGCTATCTTTGACATATTCCATCCCTTCTAGAAGAATTAGTATACTGAAGAAGCTTCCTGTATGAACCAAGTATAGAGGAAAAGTCAGTTGCCTTAACCAGATGGTGGGCGTGTGTGTGTATGTGTGTGTGTTACTGGTGGAAATATGTAACTCTTCCTACGCTACAAAGAAGCAACCAACTGCAGGGTTTGTGACCAGCACTTCTGGACTTCACCTTGGGGATGGGATGGAGGCAAACATTCAAGTGCCCATGAAGTTGAGCTCTTGTTATACCTTCAAAGAGCTCTTAAACTTCCAGGGATTATACTTAACTGCACCTCCAAACTCGCCACATAAGAAATGGAGCATATTCTATTCAGTTACTCTGAACTTGAGGAGGAAATGAAGGCCAGGGCCAGAGGTGTGGGGGTGCAGAGCATTTCTGATCCCCTGGTGCTGCGCCTGCACTGACATCAGTATACATGAAGACTCTCCTGTAGTTCTCATTATTTTCTAAGGACACTACAGACATACCTTGTTTTATAGCGTTTGGCTTTATTTTGCTTTGCAGTTACTGCATTTTTGACAAATTAAGGGTTTGTGGTAACCCTGTGTCAAGCAAGTCTAACAACGTTAAAATCTGAACTCTACATCTATCAATTTCCCTAGAATGCTAAACTCCTATATACATCTTTATATTCCTAAGAACTGAAAAACCACATGCAAGTAAGTACACAGAAGGGCTGGTGCCCATTTCTCAATTATTTAGCCAGCACTAAAGACAAGCTGATGACAAAAAAGCTACAAAGAGCTTTATCTACAGTTTTCCACATAATCCAACACTGCCCTCTAGCAACTTAAGAGAGAAATAGCACTATGGAAAATGTTGCTCCACAATTAGAAAATGATAGACCTTCACAGAAAACATTCTTTTAGAAAGATGCTGGGGGCCAGCCAGGTAGCACACAGGTTAAGGCAGCTGGATCCCACGTGGACGACTGCACAGTTTGAGTCCCTGACCTGGCAGCTTGGAAAACATGCTGGGCACGTGTGTGTGTGTGTGTGTGTGTGTGTGTGTGTGTGTGTGTGTGTCCCAAATCCCAAGAGAATGGAGAAGAAACTGTGGTCCCCCTCTGGAGAGTATTTCTTACTCCCTGCCACTCCCCACCCTAAACCTAGTGTCTATTTCTGGCAAGGTCGCATGATCTAGAGGAATTTTTTTAAGAGAGGTTTTTTTTTTTGCTATAGGGCACGTGCGCTCGCCAGAGAGACAGAGACAGAGAGACAGAAAGCAAGAAATCACCCCCCCAGGGGGAATGGCCTCACTGTAATCCCTTCTCCTCCATTCTCCTCTCGGGATCTTGGGCGCGCACGCGCCTGGAGTGAGTTTAAGCCACCGGGTCCGAGACTAGAACCGTGGTCGACTACATAGGAGTCCAGCGACATAGCCATTACGCTAACTTCTGGTCCCTAGAGCAATGTTTTTTAAAAAAAGGAGATGCTGGGAAAATTTAACACAACTCCCATCTACTGGACTGTCACAGACCTAGCAGGGTCTTGTTACTGAAGATCCACTCCACTCACCTGTGTTTGACTCAATTGTATTTTCTTTTAAATATTTTAACTTTATATATTACTATTGTTATTATTGCTTTCCAGTTTGACCAGAGAGAAACAGAGAGAGGAAAAGTGAGAAAGGAAACCACCAGGTCCGGGATTTGAACCCTGGTCGGCCATGTGGGAGTCCAGCACCTTTAACCACCACACTGCCTGCTGGCCCCCTTTTTGACTCAACTGTGACCTTATTTCACTAGGGAGAGCCATTTTTTGCTGCTGGAAAAACCTCCTCTACCTGACCTCTATGTTTTAGCAGGCAGATGGGTTGAAAGTTATTAAACTGACCTGATACCTCTCATAACCCATTCTCAACTCCTTTAATACTTATTAAGTACATGATATGGTGTTAGTTTTTCCTAAATGTGACCACTAGTCTGAAGCAAGATTATGTTATTATTAAAGAATCATGTGACCAACTGTCATCCTAGAACCCAAATGAAATGAAACATTAAGAAACATTTCCAGGAAGGGCAGTGGCTAATAGTTGGTAGGACAAGTGTACCAGGTTTCCGTATGCCCCCTTTTCAAGTAACAATGGCAATGATTTGAAGTAATAAGCCCAGAAGTCTTTTCATTTCCATAATCACCTTTCCAGGAAACCTTGGAAGTTTAAAATTCACTCCATGAGATCTCCCTGCTCTTATAACAATCCAAATGACCTCCATAACTCATCAGAGTATCTGTTGGCTGATACCCTGAAGCATGAAGAGCTAGACAGGGAAGTATATTAACCTTGGAGTATGAGTATCTGAAGTAAGAATATTTGCTGATATTTTTGGCTACAGACTAGTGTTTCGCATTTCTTACATTTAGTCTTAAAAGAAATGCATCCAGGCTGTGTGTGTGTGTGTGTGGGGGGGGGGGGTTGTGAGTGTGTGTGGGTGGGTGCGTGTGTGTGTGTGTAAGTAGGCAGTGGGAAGGGATGGAACCACATACACTTATTTTCAAACAAAAGCTGCCATGAATTTATTACAAGATTGCCATTAACTTAAGTATAACTGGCTCTATAAATCAGTATCCATATATTATTACACATTCAGGAGTTTCTGAGAAGATATGTATCAGGACGGGCTTCTCACGTGGCTTAACTGGACCTGAGGAAAAGAAGAGAAGAATTATACACCTGATGTATAGTGGCTGGTCAACAAGGAACACCATTAGCAATGTAATTTTGGGAGGCAGAATAACTGGACTGCTTTCCCTTCAATGGCCAAAGCTTTGCTCAGAATTCCTCTGCTTTTAAAATTCTCATCCCTAATTAACTCCATCTCCACTTTCAGACTCTCCTAACATTCATGAACCTTACAGACAACCAAATTGTCAACTGTGATGAACAAACCAATTGCAAAACTCAACCTCAGAATCACCACCGTATCTCAGGTCAAAGCTCAAGCCATGAAAACAATAGCATGTCCTAAGTTTCAAATACTGAGCAGCAAAGGAAACAGACATTAAATAGCACTGAGAAACAGGCCAAGCCACTTATAGTTGAAGAGGGTGTAAGCTCATAAAAGCTATAACTATGTTAGAAGATCTTTATCTCTTTGGTTGATTAAACACATGCAGTAACTACAATTTTGCTGACAATTACTTAATTCAATATTGGAAATCTGACCTCAGAAAAACAGAGCCAGATTTGGACTTTGGGATAAGAAATTCTCAAGAAAGGTTCAAGTCCAGCTAACAGTTCCTGACCTACTACCACCCACTCCTGTAACTAAGATGCAGCAAGCTTAGGGGTAGAGAAAGCAAGCTCAGCTGATGTGGCACCCCTGCCATGGGATAGCAACAGGTGCAACCTTAAACATGCAGAAGTCATAAAAATGGATTTTCTTACTTCCGATCACTTCTTCAGAAGTCTGAGTAATGGTGCAACCTGAAAAAGAAATAAACAGCTCTATAATTACCTATAGCACTGTCAGTCTGATCAAGAAATCTCACAGAGGGAGATTTCAGGAGAGAAAAAAATATAATTGCAATCACTCTCACCGGTTAGGTTAAGACCCTCAATCTGACATTATGGAAGATCCTAATGCCTCTGATTTTGTAATAAAAAATCATTAGGCTTCCTCTATAGCATCAAAATTGGAGTCTATAAAATACACAAGTCGCCATATGCAATAGAAATTTTGTCAATCCAATCACTTACTAGGGTAGCTAAAATGTCTCACTCTAGAAAGCAATATTCTGGTGAATAGCCTCACAGCCTTTCAGGCTTAGAGAAAAGAAAACTTCAGTCATAATAAACTAAGGCTTTGGAAGTGAATTTCTCAAGTGCAGTAAGAATCTGGATCCTCTTATAAAAACCAAACTGGCATAGAGAACCACTCCAAAATCTCATCTGATATGATACTGATGGAATTATCCAGACAGGATCCATTTTCCTGTCAAAGTAAGAACTTTAAACCACATAGTTGTTTGCTCTATTCTTTTTTTCACAGCAGTTTCCTCAAAACATGTCTAACCATGGTAGTGCATGCAGTAAAATGCTGCCACATGAGGCTGGGGCCATCCTGGAGGCCTCCGTTTGGATCCAGGACCAACGCAGATAGGCAGGCGGGGTAGTGCGCAGCTAGAAGGCCGGGCAGAGAATCGCAACATGCCAAGACTGTCAAAAATACTCCTTTCCATCGCTGTTTCTCCCTCTCACATGACACTCTCACAAATCCGGGGGAAAAAACACTTACATTATATTTTGGTCACTCTCAATTACAATTTATTTTGAAAACAGGCCCTTCCTCAATAGGGCAAACCAATGTAACCAAGCTCTATGCAGCACTCCCTGCCAACACAGGAGCAAGGAACAGGGACTGTGATTTGTCAGTTTTCCTGCTAAAGCTGAAAGCTCTGAAGTTCTCCCTGAAAATCCACCTTGTCACCTGCATAATTCTAGCAATGAGATCTGTTTGTTCTATCTTATAGCACTGAAAAAACCTGGACAGGATACCCGGGACATTGGGAAACACCTTTTATTTTAAAAAATCACTTAAATCTAGTGGAATAGTGAACTGTCAGTTCGGCAAAGGTTAATCTAAACATAAGACCCCAAGAAAGCAGCAATATTATTAAAGTGCCTACTTTTCCTCAATTACACATTCTCAAAATTTAGCTCACCAAAAAACAATAAAATAAAAAATAACATTCCCCAGGTGAACTACTGTACTTTATAGTAGAAAAATGACTTGTTGATAGATTATAAAGATGAGTCAGGTCAAATATTCTATAATTTATCAATCACGGGATCAATTATGCATAATTGTGGAACTGGAACTATAGTCAGAGTATCTCTCTGAGTTTTTTCAAAGTTTATAGGGCTATCTCTGTCTGTTTAAAACATATATAATACTTACCTATACATCAGGGCCTTGCCCTTCTCATTCCCCAAGGCAAAGTATCCACTTCTGGGAGAAAAATCCATGGTGCGGACATGAGAAATATTCTTCCTTTTAACAACTGGGAAGTTTGAAAACACGGTACAGGAGGGAAGATGAACCTATAGGAAACAATAAAAAGTTTTAAACTGCTACAACTGGGAACTCATCTTTCTTACATTATAATCTTCATCGTATCTTTCTGCTGTAACAAAGTTCCTTTGACCACAGACAGCACACAGTTCTCCTGACAGTAGGGTATTCCTCTATTACAATTTGATCCCTCCTGTGGCGAGGAAGCATTCAGGCAGCAGCCAGCATGGTGCCTGGGAAGTTCAAATGTCTCTGACAAAACAAACTCAAGCACACAGTTGAGTGCGGAAGTACTCACTGCTGCTCTATGACCACAGTAAGGAATACTGAAAGCTGATCACAGGGAACAGATATATTAAACATCACAAACAGTCCAGTTTCCATACAGCTGAAGCCCAGGCAAAGTCATACCAAAGCCTTCAATATCATAAAATTCCCTTTTTCACATTATTTTTCAACTATGTGATATATACTCTTTCCTTTATGCAATCTCTCCTCCAAGTGTACTAAATCATGAAAATCTGATTGACTGACTGAAAATGTTCTGATCTAGAGAGCCAAAAGCTTCCTCAAGGGCAGGCCTAAGCGTAAGGAGTGTAGTCGCTTTTTCCAGAGTCTACTTCCAGGAAAAATGGGTCCAAGTCCAAGACAGGTAAAAGTCCTTATCCAATTTATGGATAAACAAAGCCTGGCATGGAAGCAGTTATTCTAAGTAGACCAGGTTGGCAACAATGCACTTCCAAACGTTCTCCATCTCTTCCAAGAGCACTTTGTGTTCAAATACATGGACAGTTATCATTTAGCTATTTAGTTTATCATCCTCCACACTTTTTAGATGAGACTTTTAAGTTTGTTTCTTTCTTCCAAGAAGTGGGGATAGTGGTAGAAAGGCACCCCATAAGAGGGTCCTCATGCCACAGAAGTCTCAACCAGCCCAGATCACAAGCACCAGTAAGCACACCCAGGATGCACAGGGAGGCCCCGGGACACAAACTCAGGAGCTTCCCACGTGGGACCAGGCACTACTTCAATGCCATCTGGCCACCAGCTGATCAAGGTGATTTTCATAGACAAGTATTGGGTGAAGCCTGACATATTATTAAACAGGCTTCAAGCAGTCACTTATTAGTCTCACTGCCTTCTGATATATACCTGATGATTTTGTCAAGAAGGTAAAGTTACAGTGAAATCCCCAAACCATGTTCAAATATTCTCAACTCTGTCAGAAGGCTCTATCTACTCAGCACGGTATCAATGCTAAGGCTCTAGTGCTGATGAGAATCAATCTTGACTCATTAAAGCTAAGAAACTGAAGTGCTTTTAAAGAATTGCTTATTTATTAGTATTTTTTAAAAATGTAACCAGAGAGAGAGAAAGGGAAAGTGAAAAAGCAAGTTATCAGGTCTGGGACTCAAACAACGGTTAGCCATGTGGGGAGTCCAGTCCCTTAACCACCATGCCACCTGCCAGCCCCAAGTGAAATTCTTAAACACTGCTGTCTATGCGCATTCTTTGAAAAACTCCACTCCCCAAGAAATTAAGTACATTTTTAAAAACAGTTCATAAAGCATATTCCTGTCTTACAGAAACCATAATACGGATACTGTAAAACATATTTATACTTGGGTTGAGAATGCAGAAATTAAACGGGTTTTTGATAAGTTCCTTGCTTCTTAATTATGTGTTGCTTTGTTATTATAAATCTGTACCCTCCAAACATAAACCAACTCCAAACAGATAATCCAAAGTGCCAGGGGAGCAGAACATCAACTATCTGCTGCAAATTCAAGAGCAGGGCTGTGCTACCATGACTTCTGTCCCCATCTGACTTGTCACCTAACACTATTAAACTGTGCCTCAGACATCTGCTCATTAACTTCCCTGGCATGACTCTGACATTTGAGGAGTTGATTTTCTGACTCTTCCAAATCAAAACATACCAGAACCAGTCTCAATTTGAATGACTTCTTAAAGATAATTACGTTGAAACGCCTTTTATTTCCAACGTACGTTGAAAAGAAAAAGGTTTCCGAATGTTGGTTCATGTAACTTTAAAACAACTGCTTATTACAAATAAGGGCAAAAACTGGAGCACAATACACGTAGCAATTTTCTAGAGCCCATTTTTACAAGAAGGAATCTGCTCATTTCTGTAGCTAAATAAACAGAACACAGCACCAGAAATACTGTGGTGAACACAGGCATTTCCAGTCTTTGATGTAAACAGCATCCCTTTAGATGCTGTGCCCCATCCCACAAATCTACACAACCACATAAGAGTGGCCATGCACCCACACTTGGGCCAGTGTGTTCTTTCTAATACACAAATGCCCATTTAGTGACCATTTCTTTTCAAATTTTATCTCTCTACTAAATTAGAATATGGGAATGGGAAGCTGCTTACAATATCTTAAAAGACTCATTAGTATCTATTTGCAAGTTTCTAGTATAATTTGTCTATATGCATCTTCCCTCAGACCAATGATGCCACCTGGTTCTTAGAACTATGCAGCGCTGTGAACACTCTTTACAGCCCCCGTAGCAAAAGCTGCAACTAAACTATGGATACTATGAAAAGCCTATAAAACACCAACTCTGTAACTCAGGAAAGTGTCCTTAACCTCGACACCATTTCCATCATGACTGGTAAAGTCCCAGATATCAAAATTAAACAAATGAAAGCTCACACCTCCTTGACACTTCCACAACCCCCCATTTCATGCTAAATTGTGGATGTACTAATGGTCCGACTTCTGGACCTCCTACTGGTGCCAGGGCTTAGATTTATAATCACTGCCTGTGCTAGGGTAACAAAATTGTTTGGCTCATCATAAGCAGTTGTATTTAATGATAGTAACACTGCTTCACTGAGGCATTCTGAAAGCTGCTATGCCTGGCTTCTTTCCATTAGATATTATGGTTGACTACCATTTAAAAAATGTGATTTGGCTGTTACTAATGAATTCCTTGTGTGATTTTGCCACAATAAAAAAACATAAAATGCTGTCATGATCACTGAAGCAAACTAGGCAGAACTAACTATGATAAGCCTTTGCAGAATATATTATGTCAACAAGAGATGGATCCCATGGCCTTCTAAAACAATTTACTACCATTAAAGTGATAAAAGGTTAATATATACTAGTACACCACTCCCATTAGAGGAGTGGGATTTTAAAGCTGACTTGAATTAGAGCCTCTTCATTTATCAAGTGATTCATTCAACAAAGAGGCAAAAAAAGCAATGCTAGGCCTCCTGGTATGTACCACAGGGTAAGTTTCTACACTGATAATGCAGGAAGAGGCAGAGCACAACCATCCGTATGCACCCCAACCCAGGTTCTGTGTCTAGTCTGAATTGTGCACGGGGGAACATGCAACAAATAATAATAATGCTATATTTTAAAAGCTTTTCCAGTAACATCTTCCTTAAGAAAACCTTATGCAGAATCCCAACATATGCTATGGATAATAGTGACGCTGTTCTACACACTACAGGTAGAAGCTTGGCCTTCTCCTTGCCCTAATCTGCCATATGAATGAAGTCCTATACAGATTCTAGGGCTCAGAGGAATTCAGTTGGAAAACTACTGAAATGCTACAGTGTATGGAATCTAGAATAAAAATTCTGCCCTTTACTAACTGTTGACTTTGTGTAAATTAATCTTCAGAATGACTAGCTGGTTCAAATTCTTACTATAGGATATTTTGTAAATCTTTGTGAACTATACAATATTATACAAAATTGACAGCATACTGTAATGCTTTTTGCCTAGAGAGTAAGATGAAAGTAACAATCTTTCTAAAGTTCTTACAATCTGGTGGTATACAAACAAAAGCAAAACGCAACCCTGCTATTCAAAGCTCTATGTCATCCACCCACCTGTTACCTAGAACAAGTAACTGTTCATGGGGTCGGCAGGTGGCGTGGTGGTTAAGGCGGCTGGACTCCCCAGGTTGACTGTGGTTTAAGTCACAGACCTGGCAGCTTGCTTTCTCTATTTCCTTCTCTTTGTTTCTCAGTGGTCAACTTCAATACAAATAAAAATAATGACAATGAATAAAATTCTTTTTTAATTATTTTATTTAACTTTATTTACCGATTTTTTATTTAAATTTGACCAGAAAGGGGGAGGGAGAGAAGGAGGGAGGGAGAGGGAGAAAGAGAAAGCACCGGTCTGGGACTTGAACTGTCATCAGCCATGTGGGAGTCCAGCGTCCTTATCCACCATGCCACCTGCTGGCCCCCAAAATTAAATAATTTAACCAGAAAACAAAACAAAAATAACCATTCAATTAATGATTAAACTGGTTCTGCCTAAAGCATAGGGAACTTTAGAGATGGTGACATGTAGGCTGAGCTCTGGTATCGGGAGAAAGAGTTTAAGACAGGACTGAGGCTGCTCTCCTTAGCAAGGGTGGCCCATGGACAGTGTTTGGGAACTTGATTAGAAAACCACTGCTTACACTGATATGAAATCTTCCCTAAATGTTAAGGATGGCTCTCTGTGCCTAAAACACTTGTACAATGTGGTTTACGCTCAACATCTAGCTTTGCTTCTGGTAGTCTAAAATTTCAGTACTTCCTAAACAGAGGATGCCTACATGAACGAACCCCCATCAAAACCCTGGACACCCAGTCTCTTAATGAGGTTCCCTGGATGAAAACATCTAACGTGCTGTCACAACACACTGCTGGAGAAATTAAAGTATCCTATGTGACTTCACAGGGAGGAGCTCTTGAAAGCTTCCACCTGGATTCCCTACTTCACCCCATGTGTCTTTTCCACTTTCTGAGGTGGTTTGGTGTCCTTTCCCTGTAACACATCCTAAGACATAGTATAACCTTGATTAGCATCAAGTTCTGAGTCTTTAGAGTAAATCACCAAAATTGGGGTGGTTCTGGAGACTCCTGACACACAAATACATTCACAATACCTATTTAAGCATCTAATTAGCTATTTATCAAATATATATAAAAGTATCTAATTATCACTAATATTCCACTGCAATTTTTTAAAGTTTATTTTCAAGCTCAATTTATTTTCAAAATCTAAGAACTACCTCCACTCTATTAAGACAACAAGCCATAAAGAGATAATGAGGACAGAATTGTAAAGGATCATAGCGTTTGTTTTGACTATATTCCTTCACAGTCATCACGCAACGTTTTAGTCAACAATGCACGATGGCACTTCAAAAAGGTAATAGAAAAATGGAATTCAAGTACAAGTTTATTTGGGTGAAAAAAAAAAAAAAAAAGTATGAGGGCAGTCCCCACAGCTAAGCAGTTAAGTACTATGCACAGAAAACCAGATTCACATTGCCACCCACAGTTCAAATCCGAGTCCCAGTTTTTCTTGGAAAGCATGCCAAATATGTGCATGCGTGCCAAATCCTGAAAGGATAGAGAAATGAAGGAAAATTGATTATGGTGTGACCACTCTCTCTGGCAAGCATGTACACCCCCCTAGCAAAAAAGTTTTTAAAAAAGATTTTTGCTATAGGGCACATATGCTCAACAGAGATACAGAGAGAGACAGAAAATGAGAAATCATTCTCAATGGGGCACGGACACACCATAATCCCTTCTCCATTCTCTTCCTGGTATTTTGGGCATACACGCACACACACTCAGCATAAGTTTGAAGCTGACAGGTCCGGGACTTGAACCAAGGTCGACTGCATGACAGTTCAGTGATGTAACCATTACACAATCGCCTCGTCCCACAAACATTTTTTAAGAAAGGAAATCTGTGCATAGTTCTCTCATAATATAAATTTTCTGACAACTTTTTGAAGACCTCCTCATACAACACTGGTTCCATAAGATTATGAATAAGGTCCAGTCCTGCTGGAATGTACTGCTAATACACTGCTCTGCAGGCTGGGACCACATACAGAATACATGGAAGTCCAGGGTTTGAGTCCCAGTGCAATTTAAAGGCTGGCACAGTGTTACATGCCTGTATTCCCTGCAATTCCAGGAGGCTGAGACAGGAGATCCACAAGGTGGAGGTCAACCTGGGCAACAAAGCAAGACCCTGTGTGAAAAACAAGCCAGGCTTGAGAGCACACACCTACAGTCTCATCCAGCAGGCTGACACACAAGGATCTCAACAGCAAGACCCTGTCTAGAAACAAAACAAAACAGGACCTTAACAAAACACAAAAGTTCCAGCTCTTCCCCTCTTCCATTGCTGCCACCTCCTTCTGCCACTCCTGGTGCTGCATCCTTGTGCCCCTCCAGTGAGGACCTCGTACCTCTTTGGTCAAACAGCAGCTGAGGAGACTCCAGTGCTTGCCATGGCCAATGAAAAATACCCAAGGAAGGAGTCAAGGCTGAGAAGGACAACTACTACAGTATAGTTTTCTCTATTCTTTCATTCTCCCTTCCTCATTCCTTCCTTGTATATAAAGTAACTGGTTTATGTGCACAAGCATACTGCTTTTTTTTTTTTTAACTACTGGGTTGCTGGAAAAGTCATGACATATTTTTTTTCAGTTTTACAAAGGTTATTTATATAAAGAAAAGAAAGCAATGATATATTACCCATTTTATTTGACAACCTCTTGCCATCTTTTAGTGAGCTTCGTAATTCCACATTCATGAAAGGACCTGTCTTTACTGACAAAAAACTGAACAAGGTGCTGATTTACAGCCTCATCTGAATAGAACGTCATATCATGTAAGGAGTTTTAAAGAGAGCAAAACAAGTGGAAGTCTGATGGTGCAAGACCAGGCAAGTGTCGTGGGTGTAGCAACACATCCCCCATCCAAGCTCCAGTAATTTCTGACAAGGGATCAAACTTGTGACAAACCACAAAAGTTCCAGTTCTTTCCCTCTTCCATTGCTGCCACCTCCTTCTGCCACTCCTGGTGCTGCCTCCTTGTGCCCCTCCAGTGAGGACCTCGTACCTCTTTGGTCAAACAGCAGCTGAGGAGACTCCAGTGCTTGCCATGGCCAATGAAAAATACCCAAGGAAGGAGTCAAGGCTGAGAAGGACAACTACTACAGTATAGTTTTCTCTATTCTTTCATTCTCCCTTCCTCATTCCTTCCTTGTATATAAAGTAACTGGTTTATGTGCACAAGCATACTGCTTTTTTTTTTTTTAACTACTGGGTTGCTGGAAAAGTCATGACATATTTTTTTTCAGTTTTACAAAGGTTATTTATATAAAGAAAAGAAAGCAATGATATATTACCCATTTTATTTGACAACCTCTTGCCATCTTTTAGTGAGCTTCGTAATTCCACATTCATGAAAGGACCTGTCTTTACTGACAAAAAACTGAACAAGGTGCTGATTTACAGCCTCATCTGAATAGAACGTCATATCATGTAAGGAGTTTTAAAGAGAGCAAAACAAGTGGAAGTCTGATGGTGCAAGACCAGGCAAGTGTCGTGGGTGTAGCAACACATCCCCCATCCAAGCTCCAGTAATTTCTGACAAGGGATCAAACTTGTGTGTGGTCTTGCGTTGTCGTGATAGAACAAATCTCCTTTACGCTCAACGAGCTCTAGACATTTCTGGATGATGGATTCAAACTGTCCAACTGCCCATGGGACACATTCGTACTATTTGGTTCCTTGGTAGAAGCTCAAAAAACACAACTTTAAAATCCCTCCCACCACACCGAGAGCATAAGTCTTTTTCAGTGAATTTCTGCTTTCAATGTCATTTAAGGTGCTTCATCGCGTCCAGACCAAGACCATTTTCTCATCACATTGTTGCTAACAATCCACTTTTCATCACCAGTTATCAGTCACTTCCAAAAATGACTGTTTGCCTCATGTTTAATGAGCATATGTGCAGTCAAATAAACATGAGTTCATAAGGAACCCAAATATTGAGCCTCCTTATGTATTCCAGCTTCTTCAAGTGGTTGTGAATGCTTGAAAGATGGACATTCAACGTTTCAGTAATCTCTCACGTCGGGTTTGACTCAAACTTGTCATCATCAACCTCAGTGGGCCTCCCTGACCAAGGAGCATCGGTGGGATCAAAATCGCCAGCAAGGAATTTTGAGAGCCATCACTGGCCTGACGTTCTTGTAGAGCACTGTCACCATAAACTGTATGCAAGTTTGCACAAGCTTGACATGCGTTCTTCCTTTACGGAAGTAAAACAGTAAAATGTAGCAAACATGCATATTTTGGTCTTTCTTCTTCAACTTGTAAAATCTCCAAAACTCAACCAAATTGCCTTTTTTTTTTTTTTTTTTAAGCTAGAACTGTAAGCTGTCAATGAATGACACACCAATAACATAGATGTGGATGACTCTAGTACTTCCAAAAACGAATTAGTGCCATCTTTGGAAAAAATGCATCATGACTTTTCTGACAACCTAATAAATAAAGGGCCAATGGTATGTTTTGATTGACATCAAACGGAGATGGGATGGGGAAAATACTGATTCTGTGAAAATATTCCCTTTCTCTATTAGTGGCATGTTCATTCAGCTCCTACTTTTATATTCTAACTTATTTTCCTCTGTTTTAACAAAAAAAAAGGGAAAAAAAACCCATAAAAATCCTTGCATACCTTGTTTGATTGGAGAATTTTAATATTTTTTCATTTATCACTGTAAAACCAAGGACAGTATTGAAAATTTTTGTACATAGCTATTACAAGTAAGGCAATCTATCTTTAAGTAGGGGTAAATTACTCTTAAAAAGGGGAAAAAAAAGGAACCCTATGTAGTTTTCCCTTCAAATCAAGTGTCTTGTTGTTTAAATAATTGTTTAAAATGGGGGGAATAAAAAACTTCAATAGCCTAGTACCAACGTAATGTTGTAGTACATGTTACTCAAGTGTTCATGGGGATGCTGTGAAACCTATTGCTAATCATATAAAAGCAGTGTATACAATCAGGTACAATACATAACAGTAATAAACACCTATGGTAGTGGTTTCTCTATTCACTGTCATTACTTAGGAATGTACTCCTACTTACAATAAAAGTAGTTTACTATAAAACAGTATGCCATGCTAACCACTCTTTTGTGCTGAATTGCTTCATTGCATCATTTTCTCTTGTGCTTGATTTAATTGTGTTTGATCATCACAGACTTTCCAGTGGGACAAGATGTGGAGATGGGACACAGTGATACTGATGATCCTGACCCTAGGTAGGCCTAGACTAATGCATGTATTGGTGTCATTTTTAACAAAGCCTAAAAATAACAAAGATTTTTCGATAGAAAAATGGTTAAAGACATAAAGAAAAATATTTTTGTAACACTGTGCAATGTTTCTGTGTTTTGAGCTAAATGTTATCACAAGATTCAAAAAGCCAAAAAATGTTAGTTTTAAATGTTCCTTCCATTCCAGGTATATTTTTAAGAAAAAGTCTTAAAAACAAAACAAAAAAGGACAATTTTAATATAACCTGTTAACATTTGAACTGAAATAAATGTTGAGATTTCCTTTGTGTCCAATGGTGTCTAATTAATCCTTCAGTTCTAGAACCAACTTTTATTGATATGATTAATCCCATTAAACTGCCTCAATATCATAATATTCCTTCTTATATGTATCAAAACTCATACATAAGAGGATTTATTTTTTGCGCCTGTCCGTGTAAGTCTTTGTACATGAGATAAACAATAACAAACACAAGTGCTAACCACTTTTTAAATCTTTTACACTGTATTTTTATCGTACTTTTTCTATGTGTAGAACCACAAATACTTACCATTGTGTTACAACTGACTGCAGTATTCAGTACAGTAACATACTGCACAGGCTTGTGGCCTAGAAGCAGCATCTGTACAAGAGAATCTCAGTGTGTAGAGGTTGTAGCATCTAGGTTTGTATAAGAGCCCTCCAGGCACACAAGAAAGAATCTTAACGAAGCACTTTTCAGGTCATACCCACTACTAAGTGCCATGATATAAATCTCAGAAAGAAACTTCTGAAAATGTGGGCCATTTAAGAAAAGCTGAGAATGGACAACACAGTTTTTCCAAAAGAACTGACGTAATGCAAATTTGGTGGCTCTTGTGTATCATTTCAGGAACCATACCCAAAGCTACAGTACTAACCATTTCCCATCAAAAGAAGCCACTCTTTTAAAAAAAATAATCCAACACTCCTTTCTTGTTACCTTTCCATACTTTCAACTTAAACTTAAAAATTATCACTGATAAAAGGAAAAAGTAAAGAAATATTACCAATCTGACTGCTTCTTTCGTTTTTTCTGAAGCAATTGCCAAGATTTCTGTAGTAGGATTGAAGGTCAGAGAAGTAACACCTGTAACCAAGTTCATTATAGCTTTTATTGGCTTTGGGTTTGTTTCTTGAAGACAAGAATCTTGATTATATATGTTTACCACTCCACAATTCGAACTGCAAAGAGAAGGAATAAAACACATTAGAAACAACCTACTTATTAAATATAGATTTAACCCAACGAACTGGTATTTGCAGAAACCATATGGTGCAGAGAGACCAAGAGCCAGAGTTCATCCCAAGGCAAAGTTAGACACATTCTATCAGTTCTACTGGGTCATCAGAAAAATCATTGACATTTCGTATGTCTATGCAAAAATGAGTCATGACTTTTCCAACAATCTAATGATTCAATCTTGCTCAATTCCTGCTAGTTCGGGTAGCTTTTCAACTGCCAGTTTAGCTAGAAAGCCAATGAAACATAAGAGTAATTATTCCTGCCTTTAGTACATACTTGTTGAACATCAACTCCAGGCACTATGCAAGAGCTTGGGATGCAGAGGTGAACAAAATGGGCCAAGACAAGCATCCTCATTCTTATGGCTTAACATTCTAACATGTGAATGATAACTATCTTTCTCCTGTACATCTCTCCACTTTTTTTTTTTTTAATTGTTTCGTATTTGTATTTCTACAAAAGTGATGAACAGCAGTAAGGGGAATATCTACAGTCAAGGGTCACTGAAGTGATCACTCATTCCAAGTTTATTTATTAAATTTACATTAAACTGGGTACATATTAAGAGCATGTACCCAATACCCTTAACAAATAAATCTTAATGACCTTATGCTAATACATTACTAAGAGAATAATTCATAGACAAGAATTTGAAGTCAACTTTTAAAAATCTCAACCTTGAGACCCTCTAATTATAGGCGTCATTTATAAGGTATAGCAATTTACAGATACTTATTTAGTACTACAATGTAAACCCAAAAGACACAGGAAATTAAGCCTCAATCTCATATTCCACTAAGTGTATTCTCATTCTTACCACACACACATCCTCATTTACTCACTTAATACTTAGTGACTGCCAACACGATGCATAAAGATGACAAATTCAGTTCATATACAAGATTCTACAGCTTGAAATGATAGTCAACACGCAAATGTTATGCTACAATTATTTAGAGTTTTAAAGTCTTCGAACTACTTACATACACATTTTTTTAACTAGAGTCTAATCTCTTAATTTAAGCAGAACTAAGTATATACAGCCCATACTAACTGCTCAAGAGAATCCATACACACCCTTGATTTCTAAAATTCTGTTATAAGCTGAAGTGTGTGCACCCCCAGTCTCCAACGAATGTATATGTTGAAATCCTAACCCCTGAAGTGGACAGGGGTAGGAGGTGGGGCCTTTGGGAGGTGATTAGGACATTATAGTGAAGCCTTCATGAACGGGATTAGGGTTCTTCTAAATACAGATCCCAGAGAGTTGTCCCATTCTCCTGCCATGTCAAAGCACACCTAGAAATCAGCCATCTGAAACCCAGAGGAAAGCCCTTACCAGAATCCAACCACACCAACACCTCATCTCAGAACTTTCAGGCTGCACAACTGTGAGCCACTCATCTACGGCACTTTGCTACAGCAGTCTGAATCAGGAAAAAATTCATCTTTTCCTTTTACTTTTATTTGAATAAAAAGATTTATTCTTTGTATTTATTCTATACTTTATCTCCTTTCTTGATAAAATGTGATTTACGCCTAATGCATCTTAGTTAAGGACAAAGTTATAATCCACATGGTTCTTCTAACTAACAGTTTTAGGTCATACCTTACCATCATGAATATTGATAGCTCCTTAAAATCTACCTATTAATTCTTATTTAACTAGTCCTCAAATCTGTGATACAAAAATGGCACGAGTGAGTTATTTTGATATATAGAAACTTGCAGTTATGCCAAAAGAATATAATTGATTCTAATATGCTACTAAGAGTGGTTAGTAAATATCTGTTGAAAGATATCCACACATCCAACAGTACATAGTGTCAAAGGAAAATGGAATATCAGAAGCAATTTATCCCAGAAAAAATACACTTACAAAAAATAGCCAGATACAAGAGAACATAGCACAGCACGAAACTCCATCTGTGATCTAAAACCTCAAAGAAAAGAAATAGCATAAGATAAAGTTGCTCCAGATGAACTGAACCCTGAGCTTAGAAATGCAGACTTTAGGTGAAAAGGCAGGGTATCAAAGGTAAGGGGAGAGAAGGAACAAAGGGAGAAAGGAGCGCACTCATTAGCTTACCCCCTGGGCTCTTAACTAAAGGAACATGACTTAACACCCCAACCACAGCTCACTGGACTAGAAGCGGTTTCCTGAACCAAGGGCAGTCAATCCATTAGCAGACCAGTAACCACTGCCTATCCTGGTACACCAAGTTCTTCCCAAACAGCAATGAGGACCATTAGTATATCAATGTCCCATATGAACTGGGACTAGGAGCTATTACCATTTGGTAGTGGTGTGGGGAGTCAGAGCTGGAAAGACATACAGAAAAAGGACATAGGGGGACCAGTAGGTGGTGTGGTGGTTAAGGTGCTGAACATTCCCACATGGCCAACCATGGTTCAAGTCCTGGACCTGGTGGCTTGCTTCCTCACTTTCTCTCTCTCTCTCTCTCTCTGTGTCTCTCTGGTCAAAATAAGTAAATGAATAAATAATATTTAAAATAATTTAAAAAGAAAAAGGACACAGGGGCCATAGACAATCTAATATCACGAGCAAGAAAAAACTGTGAGGTACAGTACAAGTTATCAACCAGGGACAGCCTTGACCCCTAGAGGATACCCGGCAGTGCCTAGAGACAGTCTGAATGTCACAGCTGGGAAGAAAGAGGTGAAAGGTGTGCCATGGCATCTAGTGGTAGAGGGAGGGGCACTGCTAACACCTCATAGCACACAGGACAGCCTCTGCCAACAGCAGCCCAAATCGCCCATGCCAAGGCCAAGAAAGCCTGAAGTAGAGAAAAAATGCAAATAGGTGACTGACTGCGCCCACTTCACAGTGTGTAAGAATGGCCCAGTGTACTAAAGAATATACAGATTCCTGGACTAGGTGTGCCCATTCCCTACCCCAGCATTCAGAGTCACAGAGTTAAGAGAGGAGCTCCGGAATCTCGGTTTTTAACCACTACCTTGGCTACCCTGATGCTGGAGGGAGTTTAAGTCCATGCTTAGACAGATATTTGAAGGTGAGGCCACCTGCTAAGGACTAGGGCAGTATGTACAAGCAGAGTACGAGAGAAACTGCAGTGTCATACAGCGTGAGCCCTTTCAACACCGAAACTCCCTCACGTGGCTATTCTCTTCATCATTACCATGTGAAAATGGCTGAGGAAGGCCACTCCTCAAACTACGTTCAGAATACAACCAGAGCCATAACCATGGATGTTCTACAGAAGTTCCAGTCACACAAATAAAAAAACACAATTCAAATGCTCTCCTTTGTTGATTCTCTTAAGACTGAACTCCACTGATTCTTCTCTCACCCTCAGTCTCCAAAGGCTCTATTTTTGACCTATTGATACTGTATTACTCATCGCCTTGACTCCTATGGACTATCATGTCCAAACGGGTGCCTTCAGTTCTAATTCTACACTGCCTTTCTGCCCCCCCCCCCCTTTTTAAGAGGTTTTTGTTATAGGGTACGTGCACTCGCTGGAAAGACAGAGACAGACAGAGACAGAAAGTGAGAACTCAGCCCCAGGGGGGATGGCCACACCGCAACCCCTTCTCCTCCATTCTCCTCTCGGGATCTTGGGCACGCACACACACGCGCCCAGTATGAGTTTAAGCCACCAAGTCCGAGATTCGAACCGCAGTCAACTACATGGGAGTCTAGCGACGTAGCCATCACGCTAACTGCTGGTCCCTACACTGCCTTTCCAACTGCTTATGGGCACACATGAATATATGTCTTCCACTCTTCCTCCTCCTCCCTTCCCTCACTCAGTGACAATTCCACTCTTCCCAATGCTCAGGCCGGAAGCCTGAGAAAGGGACTGCTTTTCTCCTACTCCTCATTTTCTAAGCAGTTATCAAATACAAACCTGGTTTGCCTATATGCCTTAGTCCCATTCCCAATGCCCTAGTGGTCACCCTATTTATTAATTGATGACTGTCCATTACTGTACTGACCTCAAGGCTTATCTCCTCTCTTTCTTGTCCCTTCTAAGGACTGATATAAAAACTACTTTGGGCCAGTTATGTGGTCTAGTGGTTAAGGCAGCCAGATCTCACATGGCCAACTGCATGGTTCAAATTCCAGAACTGGCAGACTGACATTCTGAGCACATGGGCATGTGTGCCCAAAATCCTAAAAGGAAAGAGAGATGGAGGAAAGGGAATTGCAGTGTGACCATTCCCCACAGAGATGCTTCCTCTTCTCCCCTCTGTCTCTGGCAAGCACAAGCACCTTCTAGTATACATACACACAAAAGTTGTCTAACCCAAACCCTAAAATTCGGATATAATCATGATTTTCCTCTGCTTTAAAACCCATAATGGTTTCTCTTTCTACTCAAGGTCTGAACTTTCCTACATAACATGTAAGATCTCTACAAATTGTAATCCACCTGTTTACCACTGTAGCTCAGCCTCCTTAATTGTCATCCCATCTACGTCGTACTCTAACCATGAACCAGAATTTTCTCACCACAGTATCTTTACTCCTTCACCTAAATGGTCCTCAAAATAACTTTTTTTTTTTTAGAGGTTTTTGCTACAGGACGCGTGTGCTCACCAGAAATCACACCCCCCCGGGGGGTGGGGGTCGCCACAGCACAATCCCTTCTCCTCCATTCTCCTCTCGGGATCTTGGGCATGCACGTACACGTGCCTGACGTGAGTTTAAGTCACCAGGTCCGGGACTCAAACCATGGTTGACTACATGGGAGTCCAGCAACACAGCTATTACACCAACTGCTGGTCCCAATTTTATGACTTTTGACTAAAATGATACTCATCTTTTTCTATGCTTTGTACTCCAGAGATAAGGATTTTTGTCTTTTCTTGAACTATCGACAGCTCCATGTACCCACTCTTTGAACAGAATCCTAACCTATTTCCTGGCTTTAAGTCTTAAGCAAAGTTTTCTTAACATTTTTTAATTTTGATTTATTAAAGCTAAAACTGTCTTTCTTGAAATTAAAAAATATATTTAAAAATACCTATTTAGGGAACCAGCAGTTAGCGTAATGGCTATGTCGCTGGACTCCCACGTAGTCGACTGCAGTTCGCATCCCAGACCCGGTGGCTTAAAACTCACGCCAGGCGCGTGTGCGTGCGTGCCCAAGATCCTGAGAGGAGAATGGAGAAGGGATTGTGGAGTGACCATCACCCCTGGGGGGGTTTCTCGCTTTCTGTCTCTATGTCTCTCTCTGTCTGCCTGGCAAGCGCATGCGCCCTGTAGTGAAAAAACCTCTCCCCCCCAAAAAAATAAATAAATACCTATTTAATGACCACGGTTAAGATCTATAGCCTCAGCTAGGTACTACTTTATAGTATATTAATTCTACTCAGTTTCATGCCTAAAGTCAAACATTTGTTCAAAGATATTTATATATCAGCTGAACTTGCTATTGAAAGACGTTAGATCAATTAAGATATTTGTTAACTAATAAAATGGGGAGGGAAAAGGAACAGAAAGCAACTGAAGATACCAGAGACAGTGTGGGAAGAGGGTGGGAAATGGCATAGAGTGAGAAACTGGGGGGGGGGGGGAGGGAATGTCACCGGGGAGGGAATGTACATATATGAAGCAAGAAATGAAAAATTATTTGTTGACAATAACATGTATGACTAAGCCACTATACAGTGTATTCTGGATGGGAAACTGCATTTTATATGCTCTGATGTTGTTTCGTGAATGAAGGCGAAATATAAAATATTAGAGGACTATTCATTAATTCCATATCCTAAATTATAATGAATTTCATACTTGTCTATAGCACTGAACTATTTAGCATTTTTTAAAAAAAAATCAAAATATATGGGGAGTGACAAGAAAGAACACAGAACTAGAAACCAGGCAACCAGAGTTCCAGATCCAGCTCTGTCAATAACCAGCGTAATGACTACCAACAATCAGAAAAACTTAAATTACCTACATCAGAGACCTCCATTTCCTTACCAATGAAAAGAATACATCAGACTAGCATTATCCAATACGACCATCTGCAATGATGAAAATGGTCTAGATCTGCACTGCCTAATGAAGTAGCCACTAGACACACACAGTTACTGAGTACTTAACATGTGGCCATGGTCTCTCCAAGAGACCAAATTTTCTGTTTTCATTCATTTAAGTTTACACAGCCACATGTGGCTAGTGGCTACTGTGACAAACATGCAGGATTAGACATATGAAACACCACCTAGAAATTAAAGAGACAAACAAACAAATGGTGAGATAACAGCAAAGGGGCAATCACAATGACAATAAGTACTGAAATATACTGGATGCAGTACAAAGATAAAAGAGAAAGTTTTGTTAGCTTTAAGTTATAAAGGCTTCGGAAGTAGATTTCTGAAACACAAAAACCTTAAAGCAAAGTTTTAATCTAAGGGATTAAAACCCAGATTTTAAAAAGGAAAAAAAAAATCCAAGGAATATTTGGACATCTTAAAAGATAAAAGGTAAAGTTATGTAAAGGTCGCATCACAGAATGGCTGAAGCCGCTTTTCCAAATGGATTAAAGATGTCATGAGATGACTCACACTCAAAACAAACTGTATTACACACTTTCTTTACTTCTTATAAGACTCCTTAATTTATAAAACTCGTAGAAACTGTACCATTTACAGATATTAGAACACAAATGCACAAGAGGCATATCTTTTTAAAAGGCAGTACAGTGGTTAAGAGCTCAGGCTTTGGAACCAGATTCTCCGGACTGTAATCGTGGCTCTATCACTATCTATCTTCAGACCTTAAGCAGTCTACTTTAACTCTCAGTGCCTTAGCTTCCTCACCTGCGAAAGTGAAGGTAACAGTACCTACATGACGAGTAGGAGATTAGAAATTTAGTTTACTTATGAGTACTTCGAACAGTGCTTGGCACATAGTAAATGCTGAAAAGAATTACTTACTATTAATTTATAAGTATTTTTTATTATAATTATTATTTAGAGTACGTATGAAACTATCTGGAAAGCACAACATCAAAATCTTAACCTGTGTATTTTAAGAGGCTAATGAAGACTAAAGTTAACAAATCTCTAGTCATCTGATAAAATTTTGATTAGAAAATGTGAAAATAGGTGCTTCTATAGCTTTTACCTATGGTTCTCAAAACGCAAAGGCCTCAAATTGATTGAGTTTGTGAATTCCCTGTGAGGGGAGAAGCCCAGGCTAACAATCTGTGCCACAGCTGCAGCAGAAGACAGTCCTAACCTCTTCACTGTAAGCAGATAAGAAAAAACACCAACAAAATAAACGGGGTTTCTTGAAGCTACCTTACAGGATCTCTTGAATATGCCATGTCTCAACTGTCTTGTTCTTCAATAGAGTACTTTATACACACAGGAGCAGAAAATACTACTTTCCTTTTTTTTTCCCCCACAGACTGACTTCTACATCAGATATAGGAAGTCACCAAACAAGACGATGTTTGAAACTATCTCTAAATGATAATTATAATAAAAAATACTTATAAAATTAATAGTAATTCTTTTATCATTTATAAAAGATACGACAAGGGCACAACTTTACAGAATCTGCCTGGTGGGATAAGAGCGCTGCAGCTGGAAAGCAAGGATGCAGGGGTCAAGACACTACTTGGCAGCAGTTTCAGCTGTGTCTTACAGAGTGTGTAGAGCATCGGGTCCCCATCTGTAAAGGGTTAGTCCAAAGTGATTTCCCAAGTATTAATGTGAAAACATTTTTTTTTTTTAATGTGAAAACATTCTAAAAATATATGGCAATCCTTAGATTAACCAACACCATTAAGAATATGACAAGAACTAAAAAGTGGGCCAGCAGGTGGCATGACGGTTAAGGTGTTGTACACACGGTTCAAATCCCAGATCCAGCGACTTGAAAAATCACACCAGGTGCGTGTATGTGCACGCCCAAATCGAGAGAGGAGGGTGGAGGAGAAGTGACTGTGGCATGACCATTCCTCTCCTGGGCGGGGGTGGGAGATATTTTTCACTTTCCCTCTCAGTCTCTCTGAAAAGCTCATGTGTCCTATGACCACCCCCACCAAAAAAAAAAAAAAAAAAAGTTAGCTATTTATAAAATTCTTAGTTTTCCTATCTTCCTTATCAGAACAAAGATATAAATAGAAACCATTCACTGTTATGTCAAGACACTGAGTAAGTTGGCAGATACTACACCAAATGAATTTTGAAATCAAAAGAGTAATTCTCAGCCTCATGAGGACGGAGAGTTTCTGCACCACTAATAGAAAAGGAAAGAAGACCAAGGCAGCCATGTGGTTTCAGCTTCTCCTGCCTCTGCTCAGCCTCCTCCATAACCAGTAACTACTCCTACCTGCCTCGTAGTATCAGAAACTCCTCTGACAAGAGTTAAGGCTCTCTTTACCTAGTTTAATAATAAAAATCTAGTTACAGTCTTTGGCCAAGCAAATTAAAATTTATTACACTGCAGGACAATTAATATTAAATAAGTTTAAACTATTAATATTAAATTCTTTCCTGTATGGGCCCTTTAAGGGCAAGAATCAGAAAAAGATTAACTTCACTGACTCCACAAATTTGAGTGAAGGTCATTTCTTTCCCCATGTAGAGGCAAAGCAGTTCTACTTAAAATTACTTACAAGTTTAAACACTGGTCCTCTTTTCAACACCTTATGCCCAGAAGATCTGCTACCGTAAACTGCTGCCACAGTGCGCACTCCTAGCAAATACTTGGCTCATGCTGAAATGTCAGGTTTGGCAAAGGTTTGGTAAGGGTATGGTGACAAGGAGCAACACAGGAGAGGAGGCCTTGACAGGGCACTGCAATGCCAAATTATCTGTCACTGTCCTACCACCTACGGCGGATCCACGTGACACTGGCCAGGTCTCCAAGATCTACAGCCCTATTCTACTTGCCTTTCCTCCCAGGTCCAAAAGGCAGTCGCAAAGCACTTTCCAAATAGTGGTGGGAATACTTATGAACAGCTTCTCTAATTTAACCTTGAATGAAGAAGTGAACAGAGAAGAGTGTCCGTGCTATATTTCTGAACAGCAAGACCCATGACTACCCACCCCAGGAAAAAAAGTCACAAAAGCTTACTACTTGAAGTTACAAGATTATGGGTATTAATCAGTGGTTTGGTGAGACAGTTTATAATTACTACCAAGTTTATCCAATGCCGCCTTCTCTCCCACCCCTGCAATTTTAGAATCAAGTAGGAGAACAAAGCCATCTTACATCAGTATAATAACTACTTTTTCCCAGTAATAACACAGTAACATGAGTTACATTTTTAAAGTTCCTATAAAACTAGCAAACATTATTTCCTACAAACATGTTTTTGGTTTGTATCACCTAGGAAAATAAAAAAAAATGCTTTAAATATCTTAAACACTTACACTCAAAATTTAGTTAGTTTACCTGCTCAATGGCAAGAAATTAAAGTAATAGGATATGACCAGATATTTCAAACATAGGGAAAAAATACAATAATATAAAGTAGTCCAGTATTTTCTTGGCAAAAGAGCTAAAAAACTGACACTGATATTATTAAACACTGCATTAAGACAATAAAATGCAAAAGGTTCATGTGGGCTTACCAATTTCATACAGCTGAGCACTTTGTAAATAGAACTACTCACGCACCATCCAGCATATCTGATTCCTTAATACCTTATCATCAGTGCAATGTGATTAAGGTTGCAAGGATCTCTCCTTACTTACCTACAAGCCACATACTGTCCATTCCTAGATGCTGCAATGCTTAACCCATACAAGCTGCCTTCATCAACAAATCTGTTCAGGCACTTCCTAGAGTTCACATCCCAAACATAAACGTCCCCATCTCCTGAAAGAGAAAAAAAAGGGAAGTTGGGCTAATTTTGCTTAAAAGTTGAAAGGCAACAGAACTGACCATCCTTGATCCCTCCTTAATAGCATAAAGAGACTACAAATGAAGACCTATTATAACACTCCTAGATTCTAAAAACCTGCCTAAAAATATTTCTTGTACAGATTCATGTACACAGAAAACTGTAGCAGTTAGTCATTAATAAACAGCATCTTCAGGGCTGGCCCTGTAGCCTAGAGGTTAAGGAAGTCACATCCCATAGGGCCAATCGTGGTTCAAATCCTGGCCCTCTGCAGCTTGAAAAACACACTGGGCACATGTACTGCCCCAAATCCCAGAAGGATGGAGAAAAGGAGAAGGGACTGCAGTGTGACCATGCTCCACTGCGGAGTGCTTTCTCCCTCCCCTATTCTGATGGGTAAGTACACGCACCCTCTGGCAATTAAAAAAAGGGGGGAGGATTAGCCAGTGGCATTAGTGGTTAAGGAGGCTAGATCCCACATAGCCAACGGCACAGTTCGAGTCCTGGACCCAGAGGCTTGAAAAACATACCAAGTACACGTGTTTATATGCCCAAATTCCCAAAAGGAGGAAAAAACAGAGAGGGGATTGTGGCAGGACCGTTCCCCATGGGGCGTGCTTTCTCACTTTAACTTTCTTTGTATTTCTCCGGTGAGCACACACAACCTATGGCAAAATCCTAACAAAAAATAAAAAAGAGTATCTAACATGTAAGTCTAGGTGATTCAGAAACCAAACTACTGATAATGATAGAGGAGGAAATGAAGAATGAACTGATCCACACCATAAGGAATTTCTAACTGAATTAAGAAGATTCACACAAATATCTATTACCAAGTCACTTAGTTATTAAGAAATACTAAATCTAAGCAATAGGCACAAATAACTTAAGAGAAGAATTTTATGGACCACATAAAACAAAATATTAAATGGGAAAAGCTTATAAATGTTTCCATAATGCAAAGGGCCATCTAACAGTCTCTCTGCTACAGCACTCAGTACTAAATAAGCATCCTCTTCCCCACATCCATTTCACATTTCTATAAGGATCGATTCAAAGAACGCACCTCACTCCCTATTTCGCCTCTTCCTTTTCTGCGGATATTGCTCAAAAGTCTACCCTCCCATAAGTACATTTACTTTCTCAATGACAATTCAGTATATCTCACTGTTCCACTATTTTCTCGACAAAATTTCCTAGCCTATAGTAAGGGTGCATTAAGTAGTGGTTAAAATATATTTCAGAAAGTGAATAGGTTCAAATTTTACAAGAGGACATCAAAAAGGTTAGAAAAAATTGAATTAAAGGGCAAGTTTGTTTAGGTAGGAAAAAACAAAATCCATGCATGACTATTTTCATTATATGCATATTTTGTGAGCTTTCTAAAGACGCCCTGCATAATGTCTGTAACGTTATAATAAAGGGTAGTATTTAAAGATTAGTGTGCAATGAACTATAATGGGACGAGAAGCAGTCAAGGGCAGGAAGGTCGTCTAAAAGCAAATACACTATGTGGTCATGAGTTGATAGAGACCTGGGGCAAAACAGGCAGTAATAAACCCATGAGGACACAAAAAGAATAAACTGGTAAAGTTGGAAAGATAAAAGAAAAAAAATTTTTTTTCAATTCTACCTCAAAATATTGAGTTGTCATGACACATTCTATATAGAAAAAACACATCATAAATTGTCTGACCAACTAATACTCTGTATACACAATGATGTAATGAGAAGAATTTTTTAAAGAATTATTTAGTCTTACTCATTGTCATTATTTTTTTTTTTAAGTTGACCAGAGAAAGAAAGAGAAAGCAAGAAAGCAAGCTGACAGGTCCAGGACTTGAACCACAGTCAGCCATGTGGGAGCACAGCCACTTCAACCACCGAGCCACCTGCTGTCCCCCAACAATGATGTAATATGAACAAGGTGACATTCATTCATCATATAAACTGTTCCATAGGAGAAAAGGGGGAGGAAGGGGAGTGGGAGAAGAAAAAATAAAAATTTGAGCAATCCTAACTCAACAAGGTTCAACTTCTGATTACTCCTACACTGCTTTTTTAGAATATTTCTTAGAGTAAATTAGAACTCCAGTCATGACCAAATTCCTAAATATCATCGTTTACATTAGTATCCAATTAATGTATCATATTTCAGTAGCTCTGCTGACTGACTCTCCATCTTTCCTCCCCACTCTATCTCAGGGCCAATGCTGTATATCATTAGGAAAATTACTCTGAACCAATATTTATTTATTCCTCATTTCTCACAAAATCTTGCATAACATAGGAAATACAGATGTTGCTGGCCTTATTATTATTACTTTTTTATACAGGACATGTGTACTTGCTAGGGAGACAGAGAAAGAGAGGAAAAGTGAGAAATATTCCCCAGGGGGGATGACTATGCCACAATCCCTTCTCCTCCAGGATCTGGGGCACACACGCACATGTGCCCAGCATGATTTTCACAGACCTGAACCACTAAGTTGCCATGTGGGATCCAGGGCCTTAACCTCCACACAATCATCTGGCCCCTTTACTGACCTTATTATATGAGTATCCCTTATCCAAAAAGCTCAGGCCTAGAAAGTGTTTAGATTTGAATTTTTTTCTGATTTTACAATATTTGCATATATAGAATAAAGTACCTTGGAGATAGGACCCAACTCTAAATGTGATATTCATTCACATCCATATACACCTTATACACATAGCATGTGGGTAATTTTATACTTTCAGTTTTTGTATCGCAGCATTTTGACTGTGACCCGTCATGTTTTATCAGGTGTGGTGTCTTCCACTTGTGGAGTCAGATCAGCATGCAAAGGTTTAAGATTCTGAAGCATCCCAGACTTTTGATGTTCAGAATACAGATGCTGGCCCAACAGGTGGCGCAGACAGCTGGATTCCACATGGGCAACTGCGCAGTTCAAGTCCCAGATTCAACGGCTTGAAAAACACACCAGGTAGGTACATATGTGTGCCCAAAATCCCAACAGGAGAACAGAGGGGAAGGGATTAATATGTGGTTATCCCTCCGAGGGATGATTTCTCATTCTCCCTCCCCCCCTTTCCCCAGTGAATGTGCGAGGCCTATAGTAAACTAAAAAAAGAAATACAGATAATACAGAACCCGAAGCTGGCCCCATGGCCTAATGGTTAAGGGAGCCAGAGCCAACAAGGCATTCCACATAATTCAAATTCCAGCCCTGGCAGCTTGAAAACCACTACAAGTGTGTGTACAATGATGCCCAAGATCCCGATAGGAAGGAGAAAGAGAAAGGACTGCGGCATGAGCACAACCCACTGAAGGGTACTTTCTACCTCTTCCCCTCTCGCTCCGGCAAGTACACATGCCCTGTGGGGGGAGGGGGGGACAACAAAAAAACCCTCAAACCTGTTGTAGTTGATTAAAAAATATAATCCTTTTCAAAATAACTTTTAAAAAATTAATGCTGTTACCAAATACTTCTAGCAGAGGTAAAATGAAAACACTCACAGCAGAACCACTCTAATGCTTCCAACCACAAAATGGAGCAGGAGCTACGCTGAGATTATGAAGATGTCCCAAGGACTGATCCTCAAAATCAGCAAAAGACACAGAACAGTCAAAAAAAAAAAAACAGTCAACAACAAAGAAAATCAGCACACTGTCCAAGCCAAAAGGACTCTGCTAACAGAAAAGAGGTGAAGAGGTGACAACTCCAAGTAATTTTTAAATAAATGTTTTTGGGGCCAGCAGATGGCATGGTTTTTAAGGGCACTGTACTCCCACATGGCGGACTGTGGTTCAAGTCTTGGACCTGGCACTTGCTTTCTCACTTTCTCTCTCTCTCTTCCTCTCTGGTCAAATTTAAATAAAATACAGTTAAATAAAAAATAAACAAACAAACAAACATTTTCTTTCTATTCTTTCCCCAGCTACGCTAACTCTATGGTAAATGGTTTTCTTCCCTATTACTTGTTAGTAAATAAATGGGAAGGAAAACAGGCTGGCTTCATAGTGCAGGGAGGACACACAGCTTAAGAGAAGCTGGATCCCACATGGCAACCACAGTTCAAATCCCTGACTTAGTCAGCCCGAAATACACCAGGCACACATACAAGTGCCAAACCAGTGTGTTTGGTCAAATCTAAAATGTAAACACATCCAAGGTTTCTCTCATATCATTAACTTAACTTACCAGAAGAGAATATTTTCTTACTATCTGAAGAGAATGTGGATGCTGAAACCCGTCCATTAATCTTCATACTACCAATCAGTTCTTTGGTCTAAAGGAACAAATGTTACATATCAAACTGTTAGGTGAATAAAAGAATCACCCTGGGGCCGGCAGGTAGCGTGGTGGTTATAGGCGATGGACTCCCACATGGCCGACCATTGTTTGAGGCCTAGACCTGGCAGCTTACCTTCTCACTTGTGGTCTCTTTCTTTTTGTCCCTTTCTGGTCAAATTTAAATAAATAAATAAAGTTAAATGAAATAATTCTTTAAAAAAAAAAAAAAAAAAGGAACCACACTGTGTAGAATAAAAACAATCCAGCTCTCCATTTTCTAGCACTGATTCGACTTTTTTCCCCCTATACACATACTCAAAAATTCTCCCCAACTGCCGGCAACTTCTCCCAAAGTCCCACCAGTGCTCTTTCTACTTGAGATGCAGATTAAAAGCACAATAAGCTACAGTTCAAGATAT